GGGGGGTAAAGAGTCTGACCTAGATGGGAGACACACAGCAGCCTGAGGCCACAAGCTTCCTTCGCCCTGGCTTCATTTCAGGTCATTTCTTCTGCCTTCATCCCTCTTTCCCCTTTGTGTTGCTTATCCCTCCTTTTTCTTCCTGTTTGCCTTTTTACCATCTCAGCATTGTACAAGTGATCAGCGTGAAGTTTGAAATACTTGACAGTTGTTTATCCGTCAAATACACTTGATGCAGGCACCCGCCAGGTGCTTAGCAAACAGACAAGAACTCACTTGAAGTGCTGGTGCTCTCTGGAGGTGCGGATCTTGGCGGAGTAGCGCTCAGCTAGTTTGTCCAGGCCTCTGGAGTACTCGAGCTGGAGCTCTGCTTTTCGACGGAAGAACTCCTGCAGGTCCTGCAGCAGCTGCAGCCGGGACTCGGACTGCTGCTCCAGACAGCGGAACTGCTCCACCAGCTGGTTACGGATCTCTGCATATCAAAGAAGGGAGACCACCTTCAGAATAAATAGAGCCTCTCTGGGGGAGTGGGCTTACACGCTGGGCCTCACTTCTGGCTGCCAAACAGTGTAGCAGGTCAGCTTTTAACCCACACTCCTTTAGCCATGAATCAAGCAGAACATACAAATATGTGAGGACACGGCCAGGCCAGCACAAGCAGTAATAAAAGAACAAAGTCATCATAATTGGATAAAACTGTTTGTCAAAGTGCATTTGTCTGTTGTGTGTGTCTGTGTGTGTGTGTGTGTGTGTGTGTGTGTGTGTGTGTGTGTGTGTTTGGGAGGGAGGGAGAATGGGGGGTGTCTAAATGCTGGGGTAGCACACGTGCATATGAGATGCATGTCTGATGATTGTAGCAGACAGGACGGAAAATATAAAATAGGTCAGCTTCTCAAAATGCATTGTGCTGAGCGGGCCTTCAGAGAAGTTTGGCTTGAAAAAAAAAGGAAAAAGAAAACAAATTGCCGGCATTCTTCCGATTAAAAGATCACTATGGTTTTGTGCTTATGAGGTTTGGAAAGTTGCTGAGAGTCTGAGACTGAGGAAAAATTATGTTTTGCTCAACATTTTGAAAATTTGGACGGTATGTTACTTATAGAGATATTTTATAAATACAGAAACAAACCATCAACATGAAATAATATCTATGATAATAATACATAATCATTCTATAGAATATAACAAATTTAATAAAATATGCATTTAAAAAAATATATAAAATAAATATTCCATCTGCCCCTTAATCTGCGCTAAAATTAAAAAGCTACTGAACACATTCCCACTAAACATGGTAGAGGGATTGGACCTGGACCTGGACCATCAAATTGGTTTCTGACACACTTTTTTGAAGTCCTCTTCATATGCCATCAATAAATCAAAATATCTGGAAAAAAGCAGCTGTCTGTGGCCCTTGCAGGACTGTAATAAACATGACCAATCATTTCATTCTGACCAAATGAAATGACTGATCATGATTGGCTGGTGTAGCCTGCTCTTGCCAGCATTCCCAGGATAACCAACCCTACCTTTAAGAGGCAGATCCAGGATGTTTGAATAACAAATACATTTTTTAGGTCGTCAGACGACCCCCTTTTCTATCTTATAATTCTACTATAGGAACTAGACATGCATAAGATTGCTCGACCTTGGCGGAGGTACTCTACTGAGAGCCATTCTGGTTGCTTTTTTCTTCTTCTTCAAAATGACCACATATAAATAATGACAGGCTCCCTCCTGGACAGCCTGCATTATTACCTTAGTTGGCTGTTATTGAAAACCTTTGGGGTTCCAGGTGATAAACACGTCCAGGGAAGTAATAACATCACTTTTATGGTTTTACATTAACACTAAAAAGAAATACAGATCACATTTTATTTCATCTATATACTGTTTATTGCAAGGCGGCCATAAATCCAGTGGCTAAGTGGCTGCTGAATGTGTGGCTGCAGATCAAGTATAAATCAGAACCAAAGGCTGAGTGAGTGATATGGTTGAATTAAGTTTCATGATATTAATAAATGTCCGTTGCATTCTGCATATAAATGTATGCAATGTGGATTATACATACTCACACTGGGGGTTAAACAAAGCTTCTCTCTCTCTACAAGACAGTAAGAAGCATTTGGCCAACATTGAGATGGCTGAAGACTCCATTATGACAGACTGTTTCAACCATGCATATGATTGCTGTGCACTGAAAGGAACTCAATAGAAGTTTATCAATGGAAAAGATGGCCCGGTGGAAGAAAAGGCCCTTTTGTTCACTTCTAAATGCTGTTTCTGTATGTGGAATAAAGGATTTCAAAAATGCCTCCCCCGTCGTCTGTGAGTTTGCGAGTCAAAATATGAATGAAGGAGCAAGAAGGAGAAAGAGAGAGAGTAAATACGTAGTCCCTTGCTGAGACGTACCCCTCATGGTCCCCATAGTGGCCCAGTTGCCTGGTAACATGCCTCTGGAGGCATCTCAATGGGAGCAGGCCAGTTCCCTGTTCTGACAGCAGTCAGTCTGTTAAGCATAATGGCCAAGACAAGGGCAACTTTCTTGGCTTGGAAATACTCAGTAAACAGCCTCTGCTGATGAGCGAGGCCACAATTAAGTTCAAAATAGGAAGAAATGCCACTCCGACATCTGTCCGTACCGAAATAGACCAGAACGACATAATTTGTTGGCCTATGTGACTTTGATCATTTTTAATTACATTTTGACAGTATAACAGAATGAGCAGACATTAAAATGAGCAAATCTAAATTGATTTAACTGCATAATTTTATCAGTGAGATCAACATCAAATAGGCTCGTGATATTTGCATTCACTCTCCTGTGAGCATGTTATTTTTAGAACTTAAACAGTTACTAGAGACTGTGCAATACTGCACTACATTCAATGAATGATTCAAGCCTTTGCAGAGTAATGCATAATATCAAGGGAGCTGGCGAGGAGTTCCAATGTATAATACACCAAGAAGTGAGCATCATGAGGTGGATGCAGTCAATATTTATAGTCTGCATTTTTATTGATCACATAAGGGTAAAGGTTTCCTTTCAGTGACTACAGCGAGTCACATGTCACACCAGGTTCCCTGCCTCGGGAACAGCGTGCAGCTAAAATGAATAAAATGTTCCACGCCCAAAGGCTTATGGAAATCCCACTGATGGGGCTTTACCCATTTGCAATGTTTATTTTTCTCTAAACCCATGTGGTTAACATCCCGGTCTGTTCTGGTGACTTTAACAAGCATTTTGGGCATAAATTAATGGCTTCCAGAGACCTGAAGGCAACAGAGTAAGATGAGGACAACAACGCCTCTAGATGCCATCGTCCGTGTTGTGATTGAGCAGTGGCCTATTGTTGCACAATAGTATGATGCAGATGTTTATGCTATACATGTTAAATGTTATGTTGTAGATTTAAAGGTTATTGAATGTATAAATATAAGTAAAGAAAATCAGCCTACATATCGAATGTCTCTCAACTGAACCAAACATTGACTTCACCCAAATCATTTTGTCATGATTTATGGTTTATCCCTAAGAAAGAGGAAGTCCCTGTCTCAGCTAGTTGACCTTGTGTTTTTCCCTGCAGATTCAAAAAGACAAACGTCCACCAAGCAATTTCAAACCAACACATCTGACATGTACAGTAATGAAATGTGTGTGTGTGTGGGGGGGGGGTAACATATTGGGTTGCCTTGCAGGGTTTGCTAATTACGCTCCTGCGTCACTGCAGCAGAGAGCACCAAATATCACATAGTGAGGAGTCATTGTCACCACGGCAGCCTGTTCAAACTAGCCTATCACAGCTCTCGCAGTGGCCAGCAGCGGTCTCCGGGGCTGTCTGCAGTTAGCCATGCGTGGCTGGTCTCATGTGGCCTAACCCAGACTGACACGTTGACATAATTTGGCACAAATCAAGGTTGTGTTCTGTGAACACTTGTCTCCTGAATGCATTAATGAACATGGTATGTCTCTACAGTCTATTTGCTTGAGGTCCCATCTCTGCAGAAAAATTTGCAAGAAGGAAGGGCATCAGTGTTTTTTGCTACCACAGGACAGGAAGATCCAGATGTAGTGGGCAGGATTCCAAACCCTTTTTTTTCTCTTTGATTCTCAACTGTGATTATGAATCTGTCAGCCCAGCAACACATTATGTCTCATAGGCTACATGTTGCCAGGACACGGGCAACAAAGGTATTGTTTCACTGTTCACGTAACCAGGACATTTCAGGGCAGTATCAGTCTCGGCATTCTTTCATTATGATGAATACATACAAATGGGTGCGTCTTCATGCTCTTCATGTAAGGCATTTCTGTGATGAATAAGGTGGCAGTAGGAGTGTCTGTAGTGAGACTACTGCTGCTTAGTTACAACTACATTTTCAGTGAGCCAGTATGTATAGCAAAATATCATGTTACTAAATGTTTTACTGTTGTATTTCTGCTCTTTTTGTTTTATGGACAGATTTATTTTCAATGTAATGTGTATGTTACACAATTCTTCCCCCCCCCCCCCCCTAATATAACTTGTCAACACGAATTGAGCAATAAATGTGTCGTATTACATCCTAATAGAGCAACTGGCCCTCATTTACTTCTGTTTCAGTTTTGGGATCAGCAGGAAGTTTACAGATACCTCAGAATGGTTAGTTAGACAATTTTGATGGAACAATTAATTTAAGCTAAAATACTGTGAAAACAAATCTGTGTTAAAGGTACAGTGTGTAGAATTTTGTGATATCTATAGTGTTGAAATTGCGTGTTGCAGCTAAATACCCCTCACCTCACCCTCTCCTTCCAAACATGAAAAATAACCTGTGGTAGCTTCAGTTGTCATAAAAACTCAAAAGGTGTTTAGTTTGTCCAGTCTGGACTAATGAAAAAACATGGCGGCCCGCGTAGTGAGGACCCCCTCCATGTAAATATAAAGTATTTAAATATAAAGGGTCTTTTCTGGGGTAAAGAAAACTACAATTCATACAATTTAGATGAAACCAACTAGTGAAAACATCATGAGGATTATTCTACATTAAATTTTTGCCAATAGATCCCTTTCATCTAAATCTTACACACTGGACCTTTAAATGTTTCTCAGGGTTTCGTTTGGTTACAATCAAATAGAAACAATGACTAAATGATGAGTTAAAGGTTTGATACAAAGTGGTATCATCTGCTCATGACTGATTGTTCACTCATCAATGAATCAGAATTGTGACAGTAAACGCAAATAAAGGCCCAGACCTGTAAATCTGTGAACTCAAATCACACACCCAACAATCGGTGACCGAAAACACTGCAAAGTGCATTAGGTTTGTGTCTGAACTTCTGTGCAGTCAGCAACTCAGCAGTATTATTGAATGCCAGTGTCAGTGTCAGAGAGAAGCCCCGCAGCTCCGAACTGATCTGAGCCCAGTTTGCAAATGAGCTTAAGATGTCAGCTTAAGAGCTTTTCCTGAAACTGAGATGAGAGACGGAGCTGCGATGGCTCTCTCATGGCCACAGAGCTGGTCTGGGGACCAGACAGAGAGGGTGAGGGAAAAAGAGAGGGAGAGGGAAAAGGGAGGGGAAGAAAGAGAAAGAGAGAAAGTCAAACAAATAAACAGAGAGACAAAGAGAGAAATGGGGAAGTGAGTAAACCACACCTCTGTCTGCAAAATGCTAATCATACCCTTCATTCCAGAAACATGCTGACAAGATTTGGTGTTTTCCGCTCCACGTATGTACAATAACAGTGAGGCCTAAATTAAGTCTGTGAGAGGAAGATTCAAAACATTTTTGCACATATGCCCTGAAGACTTCAACTACTTACGTTACCTTCACTGGCATCACTGTGGTGGTTTGACAGGAAACAGTTTGTGTGGGTTTTCACAGATTCTGCACGTTTGTATTAGATTTTGATGGAACTATCATATGAAAATAATGAAGGGCTACACAAACAGATCTTTTTTTTTTATAGTTTGATATGTATTAGTTTGAAATATCAAATGTGAAGATCAGCAGCAGTTTAAATAAGTAGCACCTCTCAGCCCCAATAATAAACATGCTACATGAGGTTTGTTTTAGAAAAATAAATACACAAATGCAAACAAATACAAAGTCTCCTCACTCCAGGAAGTAACTGCACCTGGCCCTGAGATTTACTGGCTGTGTCTTTCAGCCAAGCTAAGATAACTTTCCGCTAAATGTAGCTATAGTGAACAGAAATGAGAGTGAGAGTGGAGTTCATCTTTTTATTTAACAAATAAGCATTAATCTAACCATCTTGTGGAACTACTGAGGTTAAACCTTAAATATTTCATTCTAAGCGGTTTGCATTTCACATGTAGCATATGCTACATGTCCACATGCTTGTAGGACAGAGTTTACTTTTGTTATCGTGGACAACTTAAATACAGACACCATGTTCAGGATGTCTATAATGCACTTAAGACTTATAGATGTCTACATAATATAACTGAGGTCAGAATACACATGACTTAATACCATTACTGATTATTACGTGTATGACCTTATTCGGGTTAATGTAATCAGAAAATGCTGCTTTGTGTCTTAAGCTACCACAGGTTCTTTTCCATGTTTGGAAGGAGAGGGTGAGGTGAGGGGTGTTCAGCAGCAACATGCAGACATCACTAAATTCTACACACTGTACCTTTAAAATTAATATTTATCGTAGAAAAAAGGCCTTTACGCGATCTGAATGAAGCGTGATGGATTTACAGTGAGGAAATCCAGCTGTGACGAGGTGATGCACAGGGAGCTGTTACTGCCTGAAGTGTCTCTACAAGGCTGAGGAGACAACCCACCCATATATACATCCTGCCCTGTCTGTTCGGTTACAGCACCGGTGTCCCTGACTCTCCTCTCCCTGGCTGCTTTATCTAGTCACATATTTAGCGGGCAGACAGTAGAATCCTTTCATGGTTCATAATTCATACATACAGTATACATTATTCACGCACTTTCTGAACTGTTGGCTGCGTGACCTTCTCAAAGCATTCCCTCATCCTCCTGATGTCACACTCCGTCCAGGAGGGTCAGGAAAACACCCACATGCTGTCTGCACCACTAACACCAATGATCACAACATCAATCCATGTCATATTTAAACATTTCTGTTCTCAAGAAGCAGAAGCTGCTGCCTCCAATTATCCTGCAGGAGAAGCATGAGGTGCATGACCTCCAGTCTGTTGGGGGGGGGGGGTGTCCAAGGTAATATGGTACATTCCCTTGGTGGGTGCACGAACAGCTTGTGAAACAAATTATGAAGCTTCAGTGCTTCACACAGCCACACGTACAGGGCTAGGCATGTTATGCTCCGGGATACCATCATCCTGAGTGGAGAGAAACCGGTTCAGCCAAGTTACATCTTCATCTACTGTCTTCAAACAATAACACCAGACTGAGGTGAATTCAGGGGCCAGTTTCTGAGGGCGACGTGTTAAAAATATAAATGACATGTCACCCACAACTACACACTCAGTCCCACCCCACAGCACAACCATATAAAGGTTGTGGTAAAGTTACGCAATACTGCCTTGACACGCTGGATAACAATACGATCGGGCCTCTTTGCGCGTTACCCACCTTTCACTTGGGTCTCATATTCGGCAATAATCTCTTTGTCCTTCTTGACTTTCGCCTGAGATGACATTTTGGGGAGAATGGGTTGTGCAATCCTCGGGGAGGGATCGTTGTCTCAGTTGGCCACAATGCAGCGTTGACTCGGCCCAGTCCGCAGTCCTCGGATCAGACGCGGATCATCGGCTGCTCGACACAACTTGGCAGATTTTTACGCACTTTCCAGGCTCTGCTGCGTTGTCTCCGCGCTGCGCTGCGTTCTGGGCGCAGTCGATCTTTTTCAGAAGTGGATTCTAATGATCCCTGACCACTCCTCCTCCTCCTCTTCTCCTTCAGCAGCAGCAGCAACACTCTTCCTCTGTGGATCCGAAAACGGCTCACGTCTGATGTTCATTTCACAAAGCCTGGGGTGAGCCACGGCAGCTTCTGCGTTAAGGTCTGCTCCCCCCTTTTCTCTCTCCCTCCCTCCAGCCCTGCAAGTTCAATGCTGCTGCTGCTGCAGGGGAAAAAAAGGCTGAATGGATGTGAAAGTCAATGTGAGACTCCTCCCCCAGCCCCCTCCTTTCTCCACCACTTTTCTTCTCATGGATGATTTGAGGTTCACGTGAGTGAGATGATCATCCAGCCCTTTCCAATCACGGATCTGTACGTACATGAATGTGCTGTGGTTGAAACATGAGACTGTAGCTGCCTGCAGAACAGGAGGATGGCTGGGTGGGTGGTTCTCTAGATAATTTAATTAATCAAACAACCTGTCTGCCATCAATCAAATGTGTATGTTAATTATAGATTTAGTGATGATTGCATCCATTTTGCGACAAAGCATATGTTGGTGATCATAGATGAGAATCTGTCACCCCAACTATGAACATGTAAATGAAAATACTACCATTGTATGGTGGTATTACCATCTATTTACTATTGCCTTATTGTAGGATATTTAATTACTAATATCAAAGGAGCACAGCAGTAATAGGGTTAGGTTTAGTAATGTACTAGGGTTTGCACAGTAGACATGTTTAATAAAGTAATGGTCAAAATCAGTGCCTGTGCTCATTCTCCTGCTTCATCCTGTATTTTCCATTACTCACATTTGTCTACATGATGAACTCCTGCTCAGTTTGTCATGTAGAGTCTCTGTAAAATATTTTCCTTTAAACTCCAAACTAACGACATCATAAACTGAAGACAGGTCCATCCAAAGCAGCATGAGTGACAAACAGTGTAGAATTAACCATGGTGAGAAGCGTCCCTCTTCATTTCAATGTGTAACAACTTTGTGTCCTCGCAATATTTTGACAGTATTGCGAAGCCGAGGTCTTTGATGTTGAAAGTATTCAAACGCAACACATTTTTCTTTTAAAGAAGTCAAAGTGCTTGAGAAATTTTTTCTGGTGCGTGAACGAGACGACTTTCAAACTTTACTTCTAATTGACTGAGGTGCTACAAAATGACTTATGTTGCAACTGTTCCACACAGTTGCCGTTGCAACATTATGATAGATCATGGTGCATTTCTCCATAGACAGTCAAAATGGATCAATGTGTCACTTTGCCATGTGTTTCCCTCCTGAGTGCACATCACTTTAGCAGGTTCCTGACAGGTACTTAAAAAAACTTTCTGACGTCTCAAGTGAAACTGCACATTGCATCTACGTTTTTGTCTCAAAGAAATGTACTGATGTATGTGACAGGGACAATTGAGCCCTTTCTTCTAGAGCCCGTCTGCGAACAGATTGCATTTTCATCCGCTGGTTGGCCTTTGCGACTAATTCTCAGGAAATCAGCGGGCTACTGTCGGCCTGTCACAACAGTTGAAGCTGGGAGAGAGCCCAGCGCAAAATGTGAAGGAGGACCGCTCAGTTCTCACCATGCAATCCTCACTCAAACTTCTAATTTCCTGTGCAAATGTTGGTCACCAATCCCACCGATCTGAGTGTGCAACTAATGTGAAAAAGCTGTGTGTAACTGGTCCATGTAAACTATAACACCATCCACAGTATGTGTCTGTACTGGAGGAATGATCATCACATGGTCCTCCATGAAAGGATTAGTTTTCTTCTGGAGGCTAATAAAGACCTTTTGGTAAATGAATGCAATAATTACAATAGTTATGGTGAAGTTACTCAGGATTATGTATATTGTTCACTGCACCAGTTTATAATAATAATCATTGTTGATTTTACACTTTTAATCACTAACCGAAATATTATACAATTGTAATTAAGGCAAATACTTCATCCTGTTTGCATAGGAGGGCATTTGTGTTTTATTAGCTTGCCTTAGAGTATAGGCAACAAATCTCTCAGTTTTAGAAACAGTTAAATTTGAAATACAAAAACTGTATATTTATGGTTCTTCATGTTATTCAGCAGTTGGAGGTAAAAGGCTTGGTAGAGATCCAGGTCAGATTGCTCAGCACTGCCTTATATGACCACACAGACATCTGAGGGCAAAACAAAAAGTTTAACTCTGTATTTTTAGTTAAAATATCGTCCTTAAATTAAAAACAACAATGAAAACATTAACAGAATTAGCAGTTATATGCTCTCGTTATGTTTGGTTTTCTATGTAACGGGGCTCAAATCACTAGATGTTAAATACGTGTGTGTAAATGCTCTGACAAAGTGAGGCATACCAAACACTTTGTTTGATGTGATGTGTGTCGAACCCCCAGGCTGTTTAAGTCATGTGGTTTCCAGCTCACCACACCCACCTTATAAGAAACAGGTTCTTTAGGGCCATTAACATAATAACAGCATTATTCCAGAGAAATCTGCCCCTGTTGACTGATACTGCTGCTCGTCCCTTCCCTTCCCTTGGGAGATATCTAAAGTCTGAATAAGCCTGACTGAGATTGAAATTGAAATCACCTGACAGTAAATACCTTCTGTCTTTTTAAATGCATCATCATGCAGCAAAGAGGAATAGAAAACAGTTTGTTCAAATGGAGCTAAATTGATGAATCCAACAAAAATTAGCAGAACACCCCGGTCATACATCAGTATGACTTTAAAAGAGAGACACTGAACTGAAAAAACTCTTTTATACTACAATGCTATCTGAAACTTGCAAAATCTTTGTCTTATGTCAGCTACTTCACATTTGCATCACTTCATATTATTGCATTTGACATATCATTGACTTACATAAAATATGGATGATCAATTTGTTTCCATGAAAAATGTCTTTTTACAACTGGAGTAAGAAGTGGTGGGATACTGGAACATGTAGCTAGGTTAGATATCCAGATATATCAGTTTCTACTTTATCTCTAGCACTCGCTACATTAGCTTTTTCCTTCTACACATGGACAAAACCAGTAAGGCACATCAGTCCCTCAGGTTCCTCTCTTTTTGCTGTTCCACAAAGCCTAACCAACACATTTAGTGATTCAGCCAAGTCACTGCATCAGCCTTCCACAGGATCCAAGAGGAACTAAAACTGTTCATATTTTTAAACTAATACAAACCACCTATTTATTCCCATTTTTAATAGTTTTTTAAATACGATTTATTGCTGTCATTATCTATTTTTTGATCCACTGTTCATGCTTGTAAGAAGCATTTATTTGATTTTATGTCAAATCAAATCAAAATCAAATCAAATCAAATTTTATTTGATGTGTATGGAACAATTTCAATAAATGACATTTTGAATCTTGAATCTTTATGTTTTATTGTCTTATTATTAATAATCATTATTTATCTCATTCTATTTAGTTTACCAAATTGTTAGTGTTGATTACATATATTTTATTATCTTAACTTTCTTATATTGTTGTCTTTTCTATTATTGATTGTTTTCATATGCATTATCTTTAATCTGAGAGTTTTTTGGGGAGTTTTAATTTATTTTTAACATGCCTTGGTTTGTCAATCCCATGTTAAGCCCTGTGAATTGAATTTGATTTGTTAGAAAGGTGCTAAATGAATGAATGAATGAATAAAGTTTGACTGATGGTTGATTAAACTGCACGACAGCATGAATGTTTGCTGTAGGAACTCATTTTGCAGGTTGTTGCTCCTCCGGACAGTTAGCGCAGAGCACGCAAAGTATGAGCGGCAGCTAGCTTGAGGATAATAGCTATAAGTTTAGTAAACAACTCTTAAAATGTAAACATTTAATGCTTCAGGAGTAAAATGGTATTACAATTGTTTTCACTCAGCTCGTCCTTTCTCTGTGATGCTTTTTGTCTCTTTAACAAAAAAAACATTGTCGCTGTAGTTAATTGAAAGATATTGTATTTCTGATGTCACTGTTAGTTTCCTCTGAGCTTTAAACACGTGTCTGCTTTTTATTTGACAAACAGTTGAACTCACCTCAGTGTCACTGCAGAAGTTTCCTGCAGCTGATGGAAGGTGCTGGAGGACTCATGACTGCCCTCTGCCGGTCACTGTCCACATCAACAACAACACAGTGCGTTAGATGCACATTCACCTCCAAACTTCCTGCTGATCATCATATCACTGGTTAGAAATTACAGACGATTCGGTTTGTTGTGTTTTCACTCTCTTCTATTGCGTATGTTTATAGTTTATTATCACTTTAATGGTGTTATTGTCATTTAGGCTTTGTGAAGGACTTTGTGACTTTGCTCTGAGAAACCTGCTCCATTGTATAAACTGTACTTACTTACTAACTTACTTACTTACATACTTACTTACTAACTTACTTACTTACATACTTACATACTAACTTGCTTACTTGCTTACATACCTACTTACTTACTAACTTACTTATTTACTTACTTACTTATTTACTTATTTACTGACTAACTTATTTACTTACTTACTTATTTACTTACTAACTTACTTACTTAATTACTTACTTATTTACTTATTTACTTACTTACTTACTTATTTACTTATTTACTTACTTACTTACTTACTTATTTACTTATTTACTTACTAACTTATTTACTTTCTTACTTACTTACTTATTTGCTTTTTTACTTACTTACTTACTAACTTATTTACTTTTTTACTTGCTGACTTACTTACTTACTTACGTAAGTATTGACTTACTTAGGCTTGTGATTGTTTTTAGTTTAGTAAAGTAAGACCATTTAGCATTAACCCTAAGAACACTGTGTGAATCATCCGATCATATATGGGCATAGACGCGACAGATTTTATCTCTGTTGGTTTAAATGACAGTGCCAGTTGTGACCCTCAGACTTTATGCGAGTCATCTCAAAAGAAGTTTAAATAGACACTTCACAATATTCAGTGGAACTGAATGTGGTCATACAGTTTTGACATTAGTGAAGCATACAAGCTCAATGCTCTGATAAAATATTTGTGTCCTGATGTCACCTTTTACTCAATGAAACATGAGTCCCTTTACCCTGATGATGTCACTGCTGTGAAACGTACTGGCAGGTTTTTTTTCCACACACTATAAAATGTTTTCAGATCAAATGCTTTGTACTGGGGTTTCAACGGTATTGTGAAATGTTTGACATTATGTGACCTAACAGAAAAAATCAACTGTCATTTACAGTCTGCGTCAATAAGTCTGCTGCAGCTGACTTTGCTGCAGACTGGTATGGTGCAACACTTTGTTTAACTCCAGCCACACCTTCCCCGTCTCTTCTAACAGGCAGCAGTAAAAACAATCTGGGCCAGGCTCAGATATAAGGAAGTTGCAAGCAGCGATGGAATGAATTACATGTGGGACAACAGGGACATCAGACTTCACGGAAACATGTTATGGACAATATTCTTACTGCTTAATGGACTTCTTATACTAATTCTCCTTTACTCCAGTCGCACAAGGTAAAGCTGTTTATTTCTACATTGGTTTTTGCACAAAAGAGTCTGAATTACTGCAGAGGCATATTTTACAAATGTTATGATTCAGAAAATGTATATATAAAATATTTAAATTTATATCAAAGAGAAACATGGTTTATATAGTGTTCTGTATTTAAACAACACCCTACAATAAAACTCAAAATTCTCTTTGTGACTTATACGAATGTTTTTTCATTCTGTGTGACTTTTCAATTACACAAAGGAAGTTCATTTGGCACAAGCTCAAGTGAACTCCTAACCTGTTGGTTGAGATTCCCAAATGAATGAAATGCAGATAAACCAACTGTATCACATATCTGCAGTTTTAATTAGTGTTTCTTTTTTGACCCTGGCAGACAGAGAAATGAGCCACCACTGGACAAAGGCTTCATCCCATGGTTGGGGCACGCACTCGAGTTTGGAAAAGACGCTGCAAAGTTTTTGGCCCGGATGAAAGGAAAGCACGGGGACATCTTCACAGTGAGTTCAGATGAAACTTGTCTGACTGTCGTTGATAACTCTTGTTTAAAACATAAACTACAACATTACAGGAATTGAAAAGCTATTTTGACTTCGATGACAGCAACAAATGTATTTGTTTGAAAGTGAAAAGAAGTCAAGTAATCTGAAACAGCAATCAAAAATGTACTAAAACAAGGTTTTCACATGACTGTAACATGTTTTTTAAAGACATACGTTTCCATGTGTTCTGGCAACAAGTTCACTTCAAGTCTGAATTTACTTAATCTGAAATTAGTACAGCGGAATAATTCCTGTAGAATAAATTTTGCTGCTAAATAAGATTTATAACAAACACATGGTTATTCCACTCAGCTTCTAATACAAATACAGAAGTATTTCTAAATACAAATTAACCTCTAAAATGAATATTGGAATATTTGAGCAATGAAAAAGAGGATGTCCCAACAGGTCCGTGTTGCTGGTGTTTATGTGACAGTGCTGTTGGACCCAAACTCTTTTGATGAGGTGGTAAACGACACAGAGTGTCTGGAATTCACCCGCAGCAGGAACCAGCTCCTGAAAAGAATCTTCATTCTTGAGCTGCCGAGCATCAAGCCTGCAGCAGAGAGGGAATGGATGGAACAGTAATTAAAGTTTCTTTTTAAAACGTGGATCTCTAATCGACAAGAGAAACACCTGTTTTAAATCTCAGCATCCTGTTTATTTTTGTGGTTTCCTCAGGCATTTTCAAGGTCTCCGTCTGTCTGAGCTCAGCACTTCCATGAACAGTCACCTTCAAAGTCTGCTGCTGAGTGACCAGAGAGACTGTGGCCCCTCAGAGTGGAGACAGGATGGCCTCTTTAGCTTATGTTACAGTCTGCTCTTCAGGTAACAGCCAGCATGACATCAGTGTTTACACCAGCAGGAGTGATAGTCTGGGAGGTTTTTTTTCTAACTTCATTGATTGTTTCAGGGCTGGATATCTTACAATGTTTGGGAGGAGAGGTAATGCAGCTGCAGTCTACAAAGAGTTCTACAACTTTGACCATCTCCTCTCCAAAATTGCTCGCTGCCAACTCAACCGAGGTAAGGTAATAGAAAGTGAAAATAGAATTTGACTTCCTATTTGATTGTATGCAGCAACTTTTATAATTTATTAACTTTGTGGGTTCTCCTTTTAGGGGAAAAGAAAACAGCCGTCACATCCCGGGAGCGACTGTGGGAGCTGCTGTCCCCAAGCTGGCTGAGCGGCGAGGCAGAGACGTGTTCGTGGCAGCAGAGCTACCAAAACTTCCTGCAGGAGCAAGGAGTAGATGCAGAAATGCAGAAAAGAGCTCTACTGTTGCAGCTGTGGACCACACAGGTGAGAGCTGCATGGTCTGTTTTATTTGTCTTGCAAATGTATACAAACCACACACACAAAGGCCAACACAATGATTCCAACACATACAAACCCTCCACACCCAGACTGCATGCCTACATTCCTCTCCACACTGCTTAGTCTGCCAACAATGCGTATGACAGACAGTGGATTCTTCTCCTGGAGTTTCACAGACCTGCCTGTCCCGACCTGTAACTCACGGCACTGTTTTGCCAGGTGTGATCATTTCAATGAGTTTCAGCGACACCATATCATTTTCCAGGTTTAGTAATGACGTGCGTGCAGTGCATTAACAGAGGGTGTTAGTCAGCTGAAGTTACTTCCTCTTTTCCCCTTACGTCACAGTTTCAGGCACTTATCCTTGGAAACTGAAACTGTCAGTCAGAGTTTCTGCTGCTTTGTAACCAGCAGAAACCCTGAGGATGGGATTTTAACTAGTGAATCTAATGAATGATTTGTTTATCTAAGACTTCAATAGCTCTATTCTCACCCATGAAGAAGGCATCCTGTTCAAATATTATTTATTTGCTTAGTGTACAGAGTTAATATTGACTCTTACACAGAACTTTAGCTCACCAGTCCAGACAAGTCCACAGAAACATGGTGCCAGTGCTCCATGCAGCCACGTGGGGGAGACAGTGAGCTATTTATTGTCTATGTCCTCTGTTCATCAAGGCTACATTTTAGTAGTACTAGCTTTAGTCTTGTGTTAACCTGCCAGTCTCAGTGGAACTACAGTTGTTCTCCCATGAATGCCAGTGCACAGTACAGCACAGGAAACCTTGGCCAGTCTGCCTCACTGCAGGGCTCTTCAGCCTCTTCTGCTGATTTAGGGAAGTACTGCTGGTCCTCCTGCATGTTTGTTTGTGCATTATCACGTCTGCTGGGATATTGGAACACACAGTCTCGGTCTGGGATGGAAAGTGGGGCACCACTGCAGAGAATAGAGGGATTAGATGTGAGGCTAGCGAGAGAGGTGCCAGAGTGGATATGGCTTGCACTGTGTGTTACAGGAAGACTGAGGTATTGCACAGGAAAGTACAATAGTTGGATTTTCTCTAAAGCTAATGATAAGCTTTTTCTGTTTGCAAATAAATATATACATACAAAAATCCATGTATTAATCACATTCCTCTCCGGGGGAATGATGATTTAATGTGGTGGATTTATCTGACACATTTATTTGAACTGCTCATATCACAAAATGAACCTAATGGAAAATAAAGCTGGTAAAACTCAGTCTTGCAGTCACTATGTTTCCAAGTGTAGCCTACTGCACCAGTACCACTGAATCAACCAATACCCAAAATAAATAGTTTGACATTTGTGTGAAATTTGTTTTTTCAGTAGTTGAGAATTAGATAAGATCTCTCATGTTTGTATGCAAAGTATGTAGTGGTAGAAGTTAGCTTGGCTCTGTGAAAAGTTAAGAAAAGCCACTATATAAAGCCCACAAATAATAACATGCAACCTTTTTAAATCTGTGCTAAAACGCAAGTTTAAAAACCAAAAAAAAAAACCCAACTATATTTTGTTTGTACTGGCAACCAAGTATTATCTGTTTTTCTACGTCTCAAAAGCCAAACTACCATTAAAATCTCATTGTGCCGTAGCTGATAGCGTAACCGGGCTCATGTGATTTGAGGCAACAATTGTGAAGAGGTGCAGAATGACAATGTGATGCACCTTGAGTTGCTTCAGAGTATTTGCCCTGGCTGTCATTGGAGAGCTGACCTGCGATGCACAGAGGTGAGAAGAACAGCTCCCTTAACCCATAGCAATTATTGTCTGACAGGCTCAGGTGTCTCTCCCTGAGCGTCTGACTGCAGAGTCTACAAAGCGTGGATTGATTCACAAGTGTCTCCTCTCCCCATCACTGATATTCAGACAGCAGCATTACAGAGAACTGATACTGATAGAAATGTTCCAAATACTATCTTCATTACTTGGCCACGTATATAAAATGTAGTGTGAGAGTGAGCTAAGTTGAGCCTTTTTCTTGTCAGTGTAATGCTGGACCTGCTGCCTTTTGGCTCCTTGGCTTCCTGCTCACACACCCTAAGGCCATGGAGGCTGTGAAATCAGAGGTCAGACGTCTTACTTCCCAGGATTCTTACCCACAGCATCCTACCATCAACCTGCTGGAAGCACACAGCACACCTGTGCTTGGTACGTTCATTTCAACTCCTCCGCCTCAGGGTTTAGTCACTGCGATGAGATGGAAACAGTGACTCATTTGACTTGTTGGGAATAATGAGATAAGCACACTGAAACGGTGTCAGTGACAATTAAAGTCTGAACTTTGATTCAATACAACGATGATTGCCTTTCTCATATATTTGTGCAAATGTTTGTACATCTCCAAATGACCCCCGAGGGCACCGCTGATTTAACTCACAGTGACACCCCTCTGAGATCATCCTCTCTGCTGTCCTCTCCGTTCTACAGACAGCGTTCTGAGCGAGACCCTCCGCCTCACGGCTGCGGTGATGATCAACAGAGAGGTGACGCAGGATAAGAGGCTGCGCATGGCCAACGGACAGGAGTACCACCTCAGACAGGGGGACAAAGTGTGTCTGTTCCCCTTCCTCAGCCCTCAAATGGACCCAGAGATACATCAAGACCCACAGGTACTTTGTGTGTAGATGAGGAGTGCACACCATTCACCAAAAACAAATTATGATAAATATAGTTGGGATATTTTAAGACCTATTGTAGTGCACAAGGCAAATCTTGCAGAGGCAGGATTACTTAATCCATTGGGATAGGCTGCTAAACATCGGCAGATTAAACAACTAGGAGTTTATTTGAAGGCGATGGATAGATGTGATAACTGCATGCTATTTCTAACAGAAGAGCAGTGCACATACGATCAAGCCTGTTTTGATGATATTACAATGCACACATGTAACTTGTGTTGTCATCTTTTTTTCATCCGTCTCCTCTCAATAGATCTTCAAGTACGATCGCTTCTTAAATGAAGATAATACAGTGAAGGATACATTCTACAAGGAGGAGACCAGACTGAAGTACTACAGCATGCCTTGGGGTGCAGGGAGAAACACCTGCATTGGGAAGGAGTTTGCTGTTACAACCATTAAACAGTGAGTTGAAATCCATGTTGTATCTTTTCGTTTTTAACGATGCATCCATGATCAAAGTATTTCCTACAATTTCACCCTGATTACCAGATCAGACCAGCAGAATCCATTTTTATATAATACTCCCCCCATTATCTTTTCAATCCTGCTTTCATGTCCTCTATCATCATTCGCCACAAGCTGTAATGTAGTAATGGCCTTCACTCAGAAATGAACTGTATGAAAGAGGCGAAGGGTAACAGAGGACAGGCATTTTGGAGAGCATGTCTTTGTCAGACATCATATCCATTTACAAAGGTTAAAGGTCAATCATTTGAATCCATAACATACAAAACAGAAGATCTGGTTATTCAATGCTGATCTGGAGAGTTTGTCGTTTTTATGCATTTTGCTTTTTTTATCAGATCAGTTTATTTACTTTCAGTCACATAGTGTCTGGATGTTGGAAATCTGCATATACAAATCTTAACAAGTTAAGTTTATCTGTCTGTGGTTTGTCTCTTCTTCTAAACTACTTTACCCTTTGTGTCTTTAGATTTGTGCTATTGCTCTTGACCCTTCTTGACATGGAGATGTGTGACCCGGGGGACAAACTGCCACCCGTAAATCCAAGTCGCTACGGCTTTGGAATGCTGCAGCCGGACGGAGATCTGCAGGTTCGATACCGACTGAAGGATACGCTGTATGAATTATGACTTGATCATTGGTCAAGTGTACAAATTGGTAAACCTTTTTGTCAGCACTGTAGCACTATTTATTCTATGCAATGTTCCTCCTGTATATATCATATTTAACTTTGCTGTGTGTAAGAAGTGTTTTTAATTAAAAAAATATACAATTTAACTTGACATGTGTCATTTTTGACAGACCACAAATGACCTCCATATTTTGAGCTTCACCAAATGAATTTTCTTTTTTTGTGAAATAAAGACATTAACATGAGGTTCCTTCATAATGGAGAAGAAGAAACAGAATTCACAAATAAACAATGAAGCTAATGTGTGCTTCTTATGGAAGAAGACTTTATTAATTGTCTATGTACATTTTCTCAAACATTTTACTTAAGTACAACAGTAACTTAGTTGTGCTTTTACTAAATTATTTTCATTTCATGCATCTTTATAATGCTTCATCTTTTGAGAGAATTATTATACTTTTCACTCTGCTACACTCCAACAGCTAAATATACTGTTCCTAATTTATTTCAGAGTAAAATTTTAAATGAAAAATATGTGGACTGCCTTGTTTATAATTAAACCAGAAGTTCCTAAACTTTATGACTTATTGCCAATTACAAAAGAGGAACATTGGACCCATTGTAAAGTTACATATGACTCAGAGTGATTTTTAACCTCTAAGATGTTTTCATCCATTTAACAGTGCAAAGCCAAAATAGATTAAAACAGTATTTCACAGAAAAGATTCAGTGGTACGATTAATTTAAAATGTTTACCCCATTAATCATCTTACAGCTGATATCAGATTTCTCTTTTGGTAATTCAGAGAGGACCAGTGCAGTCAGTAGGGAACACAACTGAATATAAAGTAGTGACAGCTTGGCCAGCTACGACAGTAAAATAGTAACAGCTTCATAATAATCACACATTTTCTACAGGAAACCAAAGTACCCCGTGTCAAATTAAGTGGCATTCATTTCCACATTAGGGTTTGTTTGTTCTTTAATCCCTGAACATACATTAGGTTACTGACAGTTTTCACTCATGTTGTTGCCTCTGTGCCTCCAGAGATCATAAGCATCCATGTGCACATGACATCATGCATGCTCCTTATCATTCACACCAACACTTAAAGTCTGCATTGCACAGTAGAGAGGCGCGTTGTGGCGGCTCTGAAGGAGTTAATGGGATGTGGAAGAGCTGACATGGATCCACACACACACACACACACACACACACACACACACACACACAC